AGCGGCGGAGGGGGCGCTCCCGGGGACGCCTCTCCCCCACCCGGCCTCAGGCTTCCCCTCCCTGCAGGTCCCTACGCTCCACGCGCTTAGCGGAGCGGAGCTGCGCGCTCCATGCAGCCACAGACCCGGCGTCCCCCAGGGGGCATCCCGTTGGAGCCGCATCGCCCCTGCTCTCCCGGCCCCACAAATCCCCAGGAAGAAAGCTGGGATAACCCCCACTTCGGTCCGTGGGCTACCCGGCAGAGGAGCCGCAGGATGGAGGACCCCTAAGCGGGGCAAATTAGCCAGGGGGGGCTTTAGGCAACACAGATTACAGAGTACCAGAGTGGGAAGGGACCTTGGAGGTCTTCTAGTCCAACCCCCTGCTCAGGCAGGAGACCCTAGGTTTCCTGGTACAGGGTTTCCTGCTTGGGTGGGGGGCTGGACTAGATGACCTCCAACGTCCCTTCCCACTCTGGTACTCTGTAATCTGTGCTGCCCAAAGCCCCCCTGGCCAATTTGCCCCGCTTAGGGGTCCTCCATCCTGCGGCTCCTCTGCCGGGTAGCCCACGGACCGAAGTGGGGGTATCCCAGCTTTCTTCCTGGGGATTTGTGGGGCCGGGAGAGCAGGGGCGATGCTGCTCCAACGGGATGCCCCCTGGCCCTGGGGGACGCCGGGTCTCTGCTTGCATGGAGCGCGCAGCTCCGCTCCGCTAAGCGCGTGGAGCGTAGGGACCTGCAGGGAGGGGAAGCCTGAGGCCGGGTGGGGGAGAGGCGTCCCCGGGAGCGCCCCCTCCGCCGCTTGGAGCTTTGCCCCCTCCGCCCGCCTTGGTCTCCCCCTGCCCGGGAAGAGCAAGTCCTTTCCCAGCCTCCCCACGGCTCCCACCCGCAGCCCACCCGCGCACCTGCCCGCCTGAGAAGCTCCTTCGCGTGGAAGCCGCGCGGGCTGCGATCCGACTGCGGGAGGCGACTCTGCAGGGAGGCGCTCCTGGCCGGGAGAAGTCCCAGCCCCTCCCGCCCCCTGCCCGCCTCCCCTCCCCTTGGACGGCGGCCAGAGCGCGCAGAGCCGCGGGCGAGCGCAGCTATCGCGCCCAGGCATCAGGCGCCCCTCCCCGGCGGAGATAAGCCGGCTTTCCGCAGGAGGGGTCGCCTTTGCACCCCCTCCCACTCCTGGAGACTTCTGCCCGGTTGTTGGGGGGGGGGACTTGGCCCCAGGGGACCCAGATTCCGCCAAGCGCAGCCAGAATCTCGGGCTCTCTGAAGGCGGCTTAGTTGGGGCGCGGGGGGGGGGTCTGGAGTTGGGGGCATCCCCGGTGGCATCGCGGGGGTGGGCAGCTAGAGGGGCGCAGGCGTTTCAAAGGCTCTGCCTGCGGAAACTCTGCTTCAGGGTAACAGCCACATCTGGAGAGAGGCGCATTAGGTGAAAGCCGTAAAGTCTCCTTTGCCAGCGGTGGGGGGGGGGGCGAAGGTCCCCACCAAAGTTACCTCCCCCATAACCAACCACAGCGGCCCCCTCCAGGCTCGGTGCAAGGAGCAGACCCCGGGGCGCTGGCACCCCTGCCCTCCCGGGGATGCTGCTTCGATTCCCGCGACGCGCCGCCTGCAGCTGAAANAGAGAGAGTAGAGTAGAACAGAAAATAGAATACGGAAAACGGAATGAAATAGAACAGAATTCAGAGTTGGAAGGGACCTTGGAGGTCTTCTAGTCCAACCCCCTGCTTAGCTAGGAAACCCTATAGCATTTCACACACACACACAAAAACACACAAACACACACTGTGTGTGAGTGTGTATTACAACAGTTCATTTAGTGACTATTCAAAGTCCCAAGGGCACTGCAAAATGTGACTTAAGACCATTTTTCACACTTACGACCATTGCAACCTCCACCTGGTCATAAGATCCAAATTCAGAACTCACCTCCCCGGGTCACGTGACCCCCTTTTGCAACCTTCTGGCCAGACTCACTTAACCACCCTGTTACCCATTGAACATCTGCAGCGACTCGCTTAGCGACTGTGGCAGGAAAGGCCGCATCATGGGACAAAACTCCTTTAATAAACGTCTCGCTTAGCAACCTGAAATCCTGGTCTCAATTCCCGTCGAAAGCTGAGGACTCCCTGTACTTGAAGGGGTGCGTTTACGTGCCGAAGTGACTCCCGCCCCCCCCCAAAAATGACCAGCTTGCTCCAAGCAGTGCCTGGGCCCGGGTGGATGGGTGGGGGTCTCCCTGCCGCCCCCCCCCTTTCCCCCAGCCGCTCACCTTCTCGCGGGGGCTGCTCCTGGTCTTCGGGGCCCACCGGGGGGATGCAGAGCTCGTTGCCCCCAGGGAAGCGGCTGCAGTTGAGCATTTCGGGCCAAGGGAAGCCGAAGGCGGCCATGACGGGCAGGCAGCTGTCCCGGACGGCCTCGCAGAGGGAGCGGCAGGGGAAGATGGGCTCCTCCACCTGGCTGATGCAGACGGGGGCGAAGAGCGAGCAGAGGAACTTCTTGGTCTCCCGGTGGCACTGCTTGGTCAAGAGGGGCACCCAGGAGGCCGCCTGCTGCAGGGCCTCCTTCATGGTGTCGTGGCCCAGCAGGTTGGGCAGCCGCATCTCGCTGTAGCCCACCCCGTGGCACAGGCTCATGCTGCTGGGCACGGGCTTGCAGGCGCTGCGGCGCGAGCTCAGCTGCACCAGGTGATGCGGGTAGGAGGAGGAGGAGGCGCTGCAGAAGCTGCAGAGGGCCAGCAGGAGGAGCAGGAGGGGACCCCGGGCGGCCATCACCTGGAACCTGGGAGAAAGAGAGAGAGAGAGGTGGTAGCTTGGGGGTCCCAGTGGGGCCCCCCTCTTCTCCAAAGGCCCCAAAGGCAACACAAGGAGGAGTGGATGGAAATTCATCAAGGAGAGAAGCAACTTAGAACTAAGGAGAAACGAGGTGGTGCAGTGGTTAAATGCAGCACTGCAGGCTACTTCAGCTGACTGTTATCTGCAGTTCGGCTGTTCAAATCTCACCGGCTCAGGGTTGACTCAGCCTT